AAGAATTGAGGCAGTTCTGAAGGCAAAAGGGGGTCCAACCCGTTACTAGCGTGGTGTACCTAATAAAGTGGCCGGTGAGTGTACATCTTTTTAACATATCTATATGAAGGTGTGTCAGGGGAGGTGTCTCACATGTGCTCAGTTCCACGATGATTGGGATGTTCAAAAGAAATACTGTATGCATGGATTCCGGTGTACACACAGTTTGATACATCTGGATTTTGTGCGTACGCAGTTTTCTGGATTTAACCATATGCCAGAGTTCAGTAAGAAATCCACGCAAGTCTTAGAACATGAGGCCCCTGATGACCACACAGGCTTGTACAGTACTCTCTAGGCATGATGGGTGTATCACTTCAGCTACCTGTCTTCTTACCCTGATGCTCCTATCAGTTTGGAACAGGACCAGTCCATCTTGACAAGGGAAAAGGCACTGTGAGGGTCGTGGTTTTTGACTTAAGAAATAGTTACATTTCAAGTAGTAAGATTAATTTCATTAGAAATTTAGGAAATGTAATATGTAAACTTATAATAACTACAAAGACAGATGCCAGTGTTTGATTTTGCTGGCCTTTTGTTTGTCCTTTCCAAACTACTGTAGAAACATGGCGATGTCGACCCGTGCCTTTGTAAATATAATATATGGAGGACCGAAACTGTTATAATTAGAAATAAAAGCAGAAATATATAAATGGCTCAATAAATAAATAAATACACTTAAAATGCACAAATTACATTAAAAAGGAGAACTTTACCTTATGTTTTATAATTTAATTGACCTTCAAATATCTGACCTTTCCAGCTTAGTTCCAATATTTTTTCCCCCACAAGTCGTTTTATTTTTATGTGTTGTTTTTACATTACCTTATGCATTTCTGCCTCATTATGCAAATAAGGTGGGCAGGCCTTCTTGGATCAGCTCCTCTCCTATTGGTCAACAGAAAGGAAGGAGCAGGATCCATGTGCAGATCTACTGTGCATGCTTGTGCTGCCTCAGTCTAGATTAAAGTTTAAAATATAGTTTAAAACAAAGGCACAGGTAAGTGTTTTCCTCCTTGCCCACATTATCCATAAAATATTAGTTCACGTAGCAGTGTTTTTACTGCCTAACAAACAATTTCATTCCACTTGATTTATAGAATACTCACACCAAGAGTTCACTTATAGGTAAAAGTAGGTTTAACAAAATACACCAGAACGCCTGAAACAACATGTACTTCATTCAAAGATTTCTGGGGGAGGACCCCCCCCACCAACATTACAAATACTTCTGATGCCACTGAAATATGCAATAATAATGTAAGGACAATTTATGGTACTCCATGTATAAAGATACAGAACACATTAAAACTGAACAGTTGTGGAATTGCAGATAGTTTCTGTTCTCTGGGCATCACATAATCAGCAATATTATCTGAAAAACAACAAACTGAASATCTGCTGGCAAATATTTAACTCATATATTGCCATAGTTTTCAAACTGTCATTTTAAAACAGCCTCATAAAATTTCTGTTATGATTTTAGTTTTGGTGTGCCACCCCTGGTTTTTCAAAGGTTTCTTTTCAAAGAACTTCTGTTCTGTGGAGCGACGTTTGCAAGTGTTTTGGTAATAGCAGTTGTTTTTTGTCAATGCTATTCTTTTCTAACTTGCAGTTTCTTTTTGTACATGCATCAGGTTTTTATTTATTTATTTATTTATTTATTATTTTTTTGCTGCACAGTTGCACCTGTTTGTCCACATAAAAACTGGCTGGTTGACATTACAGGCGTGTGGATGTTAGGGAGATCACACAGATAAGATGGAGCTATTTTTTTTTACTTTAAAAGTGAGCAGTAAAATGTTAAAATCAATATGAAGATGAAGAGGAAGCCAAATGAAGAGATTTTAAAACTGGAGTGATGTGTTCATGCTGTAAGATGAGCTGCAGCGTTTTGAACTATCAGGGATGATTGGTCTAACCTATAGTTAAATCAAGGTAGTGACCTTTTATTTTTGACCAGGCAGTGAGTTAAATGATTGGACAAAACAAACAGTTTTCTTTTGTGAGTGAAAGTTTTGACTCCTACTGATCAATGAAGGAGAAGTTGCAGGTGCATGATCCAGCTGGTGTCACTTTGCGATCCAAACTGAAACCTGACAAAATGCAAATCATTTATCCATTGTCAGCATCTAGTCAGCATTCATTCAATATTTCAGAATTTAAAACTTGAGAGCTTTGATTTTTTAAAATTTAGATTTATACAATAATAGTTCAATTAATCAACAACAATCAGAGTAAATATCTACAAAAGAATGATGAACATTTACAAAAAAGTGGTCTGTTTTATTTTGGCCTGTCAGTGAAGACAGAAGAGGCATGATGTCTTTGTGTGTGTTTGTTTGTTGGTCTGTTAGCAAAATATCTCATGAACCACTGGACAGATTTTAATGAAACTCTCAGAATGCAATCATTGAATGTTTGTCAACAACTGAATACTTTCTTGAGTCAACCCATTTCAAGATGGGTACTTGGTTGGTTCATTATGAAAGGATTTAGCAGAAATAAACCCAGGGTGCAGGCAGGCTCCAAAAGTTGAACAAAAAAATTATTAAAGTAACAAAAACTGCTGTAGAGACAGCTCAAACTTACAGGGACTCTCAAGGATCCCACAGGCAGGGGGAACAGAACACAATGAACYGACACAAGACTGAGACAAGACAGGACTTAAATACACTGACTACTAATTGATGAACTGAAAACACCTGGTGAGAAACACGAGGGTGACAATCAGACTAATGGGGAGCAGCTGGGCTCAGATACACTGGGGAACATAGAAACACTAGGAAAACCAAGGTGAAAACTGACAAACCATGACAAAATATAGTTTATCCGTAGTGAACTCATAAGACATTTAAACTGATAGGAACTATTTTTCAGCCCTAAAATCTCATACATAGAACTGAGATATGATCATGGGTGTGCTGGTTTCTCTATTCTCTTCAATCGTCTCCATTGCTGTATTCTGTCGTTGTGTCCTTGGGCAAGACACTTCACCCGCCTTGCCTACTGATGGTAGTCAGAGGGTCCGGTAGCACCGGTGCATGGCAGCCTTGCTTCTGTCAGTCTGCCCAAGGGCACTTGTGGCTACAATGTAGCTTACCACCATCAGTGTGTGAATGGGTGAATGTCTGTAAGGGTAAAGCGCTTTGGGGTCCGTAGGGACTTGACACGGCACTATATAAGTTCAGTCCATTTACAATTGACCATTTCTTTGAAATGTAGGTGGGAGCTCAGCTCGCGACCGTTAATGAAGATGATGTAATTCCAAATCTATCCTAGATGTGAGCTACAACTGTGATTGGTTCCCCATGAGGAACATAGTGTGACCAATTGCATTTCAAGAAAGAAAACAGCAACAGCTGATTACAAAGCTAACAAGTAACTAMAAGCGTCCTAGAAATATAGTGGAGTAAAAGTAATAAGTACCCCAAAAAATAATTACTCAAGTAAAGTAAAGATACTCAAAAAATGTACTTAATTACAGTACTCGAGTAAATGTACTCCACGACTGTCCACCACTGGCAATAACTTCTATTTTTACTTCAGCTGTTTTTCTTCAGCTCTGATCACAGAGAATAGAAATGATCTGAATATTCTGACTACAGTAAACTAACAATGAAATACATCTTTTATCTTTTAGTTGAAACTAAAAATTTTCTTGTTTTTTGTCATGAATAAGTACAAGATAATTATTAGAATGGGCAGCAGCATGACGGATTAGTGGTAGCACTGATGCTTCACAGCACAATGGTCCTGGGAATGATCCCTGGTTTGGACCTGGGGTCTTTCTGTGTGGAGTTATTTTTTTTATATGAAAGCAGGGTTATTACTCAGTGTGTAAGAGACCAAGAGTGTGTGTTCATACCAGACTAATGGTGAGCAGCACAGGTGCTGGATATCTGTAGGAAAGGTAGATGGAAGACAATCGTCCTGCTGTGATCGAGGCCCAAAATATGCTGTCCAGACAGCCAGCCATCTTATGGCCCATCAGCAGAGGAGGAGACACGGCGTAGGTGTAGACGAAGCCAGCATAGGAGCCCTGCAGGAACAAAAAGCAACCCAAAATAAATGAGAGCAGGTAACTTCTTGTGATGTTTGGACAGATCTTAAAAGGAAAATGGCATCAATGTTGTCTTGGATATAACACACAGTGGTTTATTGTAAGTAAGTATCTTTACTCTTTCTACTCTCCATGTTTCTACAGATGATTGTAGTTGTCATACCCACAGAAACTACACCTGGACCAGTCATTCTGTTTCCTATCCTCTCAAACCCAGCTGGTTGAGTCAGATTGCTGCACATTTTGACCCTGGTTCTGGTTCTGCTGAAGTTTTTATTTTACTAGCAAAATGGGATCAACCCAACTGCTGTCGCCTCTGTGCTGCTCAGGATGGAAGACTTCTATGAAGTTAAGATTTGACACGATTTTTCTGGTTTTCTGATTATTTCAAGTTTGCATTCTGAAATATACCAAATGTAATTGTATTGTATCATAATTGATTTAAAAGACTGTAATTACACTCACCGGCCACTTTATTAGGTACACCTGTCCAACTGCTCGTTAACACTTAATTTCTAATCAGCCAATCACATGGCGGCAACTCAG